CCCGGGTCAGACTCTGTGTTTCAGGACACTAAATCAGCCGTCAATCTCGCCTCTCTCAATCTCCACAATACTTCAAACGCAACAAAGTCTAGCTGCAGATGCCGCCAAAATCAGGTGTGCTTTCAGCTTTCAGCATCTTTCACACGAGACACTCTGACATTCGCGTTTCAAAATACTACAACTTGGGTTATGTTGAGCTTTCAAACTGTGATTGTGCTCTCAGACATGATCAGATATTATAAATAAAGTTAAACAAATAAACATAAATAAGTATAAACTAATAACCAAACAAATACACAAATAATCATAAATTAACAATCAAACAAACAACAGTATCGTAAATAAATTAAATTCAATAAATAACAAATAAATAGAACAAATAGAAAAAAAATTATTATTGTAAACAAACAAACAAACAAACAAACAAACAGTAATTACACTTTACTTTGTTAAACATCCATCTGAATTTGATTTGTAAATCATTACTGCTACTAATAGTTTATTGTAAATTATTATTATTATTATTATTATTATTATTATATTAATTATTATTATTGGCAAATTACCTAAACTAAAAATATTTTTACTTTGAGCCAAATAATAAAAAGACAATATAATAATAATAATAATATTATTATCAATAGAAATTATCTAAACTGAAAATTAACATTTTTACTTTACACCAATAATAAGTAATTATCATCATCATCATCAACAACAGCAAAAAAAAATTATCTAAGCTGAAAATTAACATTTTTACTTTACACCAATAATAAGTAATTATCATCATCATCATCAACAACAGCAAAAAAAAATTATCTAAGCTGAAAATTAACATTTTTACTTTGAACCAAATAATAAAAAGACAATATGATAATAATAATAATAATAAGTTCATTATAATTCTATTATTATTATTATCAACAGAAATCATCTAAACTGAAAATTAACATTTTTACTTTAAACCAATAATGTTGTTATTATTATTCTCAAATGTTTATTCGTTAACTTTGGCAGTCTTAATTTATCTAAATATCTATCAATCAACTGATCTTTTTAAAAGATATTCTGCAACAATTTGACAAATTTTATATACATATACATACATACACACACACACACACACACACACACGTTTAAATATATAAATATAAGTTTAAATAATTTAATACATTTCTACAAAGATGTATTAAAAAATATATTCAATTATTTATATTACATATATTTATAATATTTATATTTTATATCGTTTATTCAATTATTTTTAACTTTTAAAATATGTAAATATAAGTTAATAAAAGTATTTAATACATTAATATAAAAATATAAATATTAATTTCATTAATTCTTAATTTTTTTATTAATATTATAAATATCACAATATTGCAAAGCATTATACTTTTTATAAGATGATTGAGTAGGAAAATAACACCAGCAAATTTGCATTTCAAACAGTAACGCACACACAAACACACACTAAATTACAATACGACTCCCTCCAGTTGAGCTCTTTCCATAAACTCAATCAAAACATTGCTCCTGCCAAACACAAACCTTTGTGTGCAAAAACAGAAACTCATCTGCCGTGAAGAACAGACCTTTCAAATGAGTCACAGATGCTGATCAGTCTGACACGCTGTTTGTCCTCCATAATGAAATAAGACTGATGTGTAATTAACTTTAAGCAAACGACTGAAGGCAGATTTTCAGGGGCCAGATGCAATAAACTTCCTCAAATCAGATGCACTGACATTAATCCTGATGCAGAGCTCAGTGACAGCGGCAGCTTTATGTGTGTTACACTAATAAAGCCAATCAGTGTGACGATCCGCAGTCAGGACTGAGCATGGTGGGAAAACACACGCTCTGGAGACATCTACTGCTGTCTGTGGAGGCAAACGCTTTTCAGAAAACTCCTAAAAGTGTGCCTCCTGCAGTTACTTCGAATATTTCCCATCACATCTTAACATTATGAACACAAGGTGAAAACAACAGCTGTAATGAGAACTGATGTTCACTGGCATTAAATCAGTTCAAATATATTGTCGTGTATGAAAATGCACTGATAAAACCATATTTTAACCAGTGTTGTTACTGCTAACTAAACTAAAACTATTAGACATGTTTTTGTTTTGCAAAAACAGCTGAAATAAAATTACAAAATAAATATTAAATGAAAAACAAAAGTGTAGCCCTGACGACTAACTGAAAAAAAAGTTGAAATACCAAAATTATATAAAAATTATAAATAATGTATAAATTAATGAAAATAATATGAATAAAAAATATATAAAAATAAAACTAATAAATCATAAATATTAAAAAATGAATGAATGAATGAATGAATAAAAAAATATATATATATATATTATAAAATAGTAACTAACAAATACATTTGTCTCAAATAAAAAATGAATAAAAAAATTAAAAAAACATTTATTTTAATAAATAATAAATAGTATACAATATTATAGTATGCAAATAATACTAATATAACACTGATAGTTTATTAGTTTTATTTATTCTATTCAAATTCTATTTGATATGTGTTTTGTCAAAACTATGAGGAAAAATAGATAAATCAATTCTATAGTTATCATAGTTAACTAAAATTAAAATAATTAATAGAATTAAATAGAATAAAATAAGATAAAATAAAATAAAAGTTAATTCAAAATATTCATAAACACTATGATACTAGACAAATAATACTAAAATAACACTGATTTTAACCATAGTTTATTATCTTTATTTATTCTACTCAATTCATCTGTTTTGACCAAAACTGAAAGACATAAATTGCAGAATTATTAGTTAAAGATAAAAATTAAAACAATAAAACTAAACAAAAAAAAAACATTAAAAACATTAAAATAATAATAATAATAATAATAAATGTGTTACTCGAAATGAAATAAACATTTCATTTATTATTTATTTGCCAAAGCCACATTTCCCATTTTCATTTAGTTGAACTTATTAAAACAACTAAAACATATTATTAAATATTTTGTAAAAATGAAAAAAATTACTAATACTTTAACTAAAATTAACATGAAAATAGAAATTATTTTTTAAAAATGGAAAAATAAATAAAAAGTAATTCAAAATATTCATAACAACTATAATACTATCTGGATGATACTTAATAACACTGAACAATTCTTTCGATGCTAAATATTCACAACATGGTAAAACAGGTCGCTTCTGACAGAAGGTCAACAACAGAAGAAGCGGGGAGTTTCTCTGCTGCTTACAGCTATGCTAACTACTCACAATTACAGCTGCATTTTATTATTTGCATTTAGCACTGATTTCTCCTGCTGTCTACAAACCATCACTCGTTTCACGCTGGTAAAATGTTGCTGTGGCGAGCACTTACCTTGCAGGATGAAGCCAGCAGGGATCCGTCTTCCTTCCAGGCCAAACCCTGCAGCTGATCCTCATGCTGCTCCAGTACTGCACACACACACACACACACACACACACATCCATGTGATGAACAAGTTTACAAGCTCTCAGACAGCAAACACATGCGATGATATCAATGAGGACACACAGAGAAGCGTGACAGTGCTGGGAATCTCGTGTGTATGTCAGGAGAGTCTGCTGATGCAAACCAGTGTGCGGAGAAAAGCTGAGTGACTCGCCAAACACATCTCAGAGACCCGCCGAGGTGAAACTAGACATTCAGACAAAACAATCAGCTAATTATAGACCAAACAAATTAGCAAATTGTGTTTAGAAATCTTGCCTTGGCAACTAACTGAAACAAAATAAGTTCAAGTACTAAAATGACTAAAACTGAAACTGAAATAAAAGTAAAAACTGAAGAGAATTAAAAAAAATGTAAAAAATACAAACATAAAAAAAACAAAATTACTAAAAACTTAAACTAAAACTAAAATGAAAAAGAAAATGATACAAAAATATAAAAAGTAAGAGCTTAGTCAAAATAAGTTCAAGTACTAAAATGACTAAAACTGAAACTGAAATAAAAGTAAAAACTGAAGAGAATTAAAAAAAATGTAAAAAATACAAACATAAAAAAAACAAAATTACTAAAAACTTAAACTAAAACTAAAATGAAAAAGAAAATGATATAAAAATATAAAAAGTAAGAGCTTAGTCAAAACTAGGGCTGCACAATTAATCGAATTTCTAATCGCAATTACGGTTACGGATGCCACAATTACGTAATCGTTCAAAGCGACAATTAATCGTTTAAAGTCCACTTATGTTATTCTGTGTGCTTAAGATGTGTTTTTACTTTCTACATGTTATCTTAAGGGTTTTTCCATTGTTTTAATTTTAGTTTTACTATAACATTATAATACCATTCATATTTTTACTTTTTTATAATTTAAAGAAGAAACCAATCCGATGTATATTTGACATTTGAGGCTTAATACTATAGAAAAGCACTAAAGGTTTTTCAGTTAGAGTGTTTTCAGCGCGTTTATTTTCATATAAAAATACAGCATGCAGTTGCTTCAAACAATGGTATAAACATCAATCATTTAATCGTAAATTAATAATCGCAATTTCAAAGGAATAATCGACAATTATGATTTTTGTCATAATCGTGCAGCCCTAGTCAAAATACTAATATAACAGCATACAAATAATACAATAAATGTTAACTTACATATTTAAGTATTTAAGTTTAAGTATTTTATTGTATTTTATTTTATTTCAGCTATTTGCCAATGCAATTTCTCAGTTTCTCAGAAGTCCAGTTATGTAATGTTTAAATAATATATAAATTAATAAAAATAATATGAATAAAAAATATATAAAAATATTGCACTTATATATTATATATTGTTGCTCTTTTGTTAGTTTTGACTGCTTTTATTGTCCTCATTTGTAAGTCGCCTTGAACAAAAGCGTCTGCTAAATGACTAAATGTAAATGTATATGTATATATATATATATATATATATTATAAAATAATAAATAAATTTGTCTCAAATAAAAAATGAATAAAAAAATTAAAAAAACATTTATTTTAATAAATAATAAATAGTATACAATATTATAGTATGCAAATAATACTAATATAACACTGATATTTATTCTATTCAATTCTATTTGATATCTCTGTTTTGTCAAAACTATGAGGAAAAATAGATAAATAAATTCTATAGTTATCACAGTTAACTAAAATTAAAATCATTATTAGAATAAAATAGAATAAAAACATTTTATTTCAGTTATTTGCCAATGTAACATTTCCCATGTTGTCAGAGATCCAGTTATGCGGTGCTGGATTGGTTTTGTTTGGAGTGACAGAGTGAATGAGCCTCGGCTAACAGGGACTCAAGTGCATGACAGCAGATGAAGGCAGACAGTGAAGAGAGATGTGAGGTTGAGCAGCACCAGCAGCCATCATGGGGCTCCGGGGCCACGTGGCCCGAAGCTCTGAGGGGCTCCTGAGCTCAAACATTTACCTCAGCCGCTCCACGCTGGACCCCAGAGGACCGTAACAAACACAGCCCTGGAAACCACCAGAGGCTCGCAGATCAAACCAAACACACAGAGACAAAACAAACAAAAAACTCATCGAGGAGACACAGAAGCCGCAGACAAAACCCTCATGAACTGCCTTATTCAGACGCCAATTACAACGCAATACTTCAGACGATGATATTGAAATTGATTTTTGCGCCTACAATGTGAATTAACTTACAGCACAATCTTGTTGCTTGTTAAAGAACAGCAAGTCATTTGGCTCATATTTGTGAGGGGAAAAAAACATTTCAATGATTCACATTCAATTCAGCTAAATAATAATAATAATAATAAATGAAATAAATAGAAATAAATTTGAAATTTAAAATAAAATAAAATTTAAAAATAATAATAAAGAAAATTTACGAAATTTAAAATATATTTAAAATAAATAAAAATGTAAAAATGTAAATTAAAATGTACATAAAAATAAATGAAAAGTAAATCAAAATAAGTACATTTTAAAAATACATTAAAATAAATAAAACAAAAAACAAAAACAGTTAGTTAAAAATAGCTAAACATACATTTAGTTAGTTAAAAATGCATTAAATACTTTTTAAACAAATACATTTAAAATAAATAAAAAAATAAATTGTAAATTTTAAAAACTACATTAAAGGGGTCATATGATGCTATTTTAAAGATCATTATTTTGTGTATTTGGTGTAACAGAATATGTTGACATGCTTTAATCATAAATTAATAAAAAATAAATTGATAAGAATAAATAAAAATAAAAAATGGATGAAAAAATACATTAAATAAATACATTTTAAACAAATAAATAAATAAATAAAACTAGAAATGCATCAAACTCATGAAAAACAATTAGCGTCTGAATAGGGCTTAAGTGTACACTTAAAGTAAGGTAATTGAAGACGAGACTAAATCTGGCAGTGATGGTTGCCGGTCTGAATGCACTGGTGTGTGTTTACCTGTGAGTGCGGCGTCTCGTGTGACGTCCCACACCTGAAGGCCCCTCACAGACGCCACGGCGAGCAGCCCTGAGGCCGCGGGGTGGAAGAGGACGACCTCCAGACGCCCGTCAGCGGGGCTCAGAGTCACCTCAGCATTACTGCACTGATCCTGATCCGGATCACACTCGCGCCACAGCTTCACCTGAATCAACACAGATATCATGGAGCATTAGATTGTGCTGATTCCTGGATACACGTATTCAATCTTTTAATCGGTAAAATCATTTGTATGCACCCGTTTAAAAAAAAGTGGTTAGTAAAGTGGTTTGTTTTCATGATTTAAAAAAATACAGCACATTTTTTTACTCTCTGAAATAAATTTTTCTTCTGCTGATGTATTCAAAGCCATGCTAAAATATTTGTATATGTATAAACCAATAATATTACAGCACGCTTTTAAAGATCCAATTAAAATAAATAAAATCAAGTCCCATCTCCATGATTTCACTTAATTATTATTGCTTAATTCAGAAATACATCACAATACAAAAATTGAAGTTTTAATAAATAAATACATACATAAATAAATAAAAAAGATTTTTCTTATAATTGTTTAATTCAGAAATAAATCACATTATAAAAACTAATGTTTGAATGAATGAATGATTTACTTATTGTTTAATTCAGAAATACATCACATTATAAAAACTAATGTTTGAATGAATGAATTAATGATTTACTTATAATTGTTTAATTCAGAAATACATCACATTATAAAAACTAATGTTTGAATGAATGAATGAATGATTTACTTATAATTGTTTAATTCAGAAATACATCACATTATAAAAACTAATGTTTGAATGAATGAATGAATGATTTACTTATAATTGTTTAATTCAGAAATACATCACATTATAAAAACTAATGTTTGAATGAATGAATGAATGATTTACTTATAATTGTTTAATTCAGAAATACATCACATTATAAAAACTAATGTTTGAATGAATGAATGAATGATTTTACTTATAATTGTTTAACTCAGAAATACATCACATTATAAAAACTAATGTTTGAATGAATGAATGAATGAATGAATGAATGGATGAATGAATGGATGAATGAATGAATGAATGAATGAATGAATGAATGGTTTTACTTATTGTTTAATTCAGAAATACATCACATTATAAAAACTAATGTTTGTTTGAATGAATGAATGAATGATTTTACTTAGTTTATTTCAGAAATACATCACATTATAAAAACTAATGTTTGAATGAATGATTTTTCTTATAATTGTTTAATTCAGAAATACATCACATTATAAAAACTGTTTGAATGAATGAATGAATGATTTTACTTATAATTGTTTAACTCAGAAATACACCACATTATAAACACTAATGTTTGAATTAATTAATTAATTAATTAATGATTTTACTTAGTTTAATTCAGAAATACATAACATTATAAAAACTAATGTTTGAATGAATGAATGAATGAATGATTTTACTTGTTTAATTCAGAAATACATCACATAAAAACTAATGTTTGAATGAATGAATGAATGAATGATTCACGTTCAGCAGAAGAAACTCTTAAAGAAATAACAGCCAAAACAACCTAATAACCAGCTGCTGTGATGTCTATTAATCAAAGGACAAAGAAAAAAAGAGGAAAAAAATCACTTTTATAGCTTTAAGGATTCATCTATATTTAATTTAGTGTTTGATAACTTTAGTTTCAATTTCTGTATATTTCTGCTGAAGGGCACAGGTAAATATGACATTTATTATAATGGGTTTATGT